CTATCTATCTATCTATCTATCTATCTATCTATCTATCTATCTATCTATCTATCATCTATCTATCTATCTATTTTCCCCATGGAGTCTCTTTCCTGATCTGATCTACCTAAAAGAGTAGTTTCTTTCAAGCCTTACTGGATGTTACCTCTCCTTCTTATATCCCAATGAATCATGGAGGATATTGCCTAGGTTAAAACATTAGTTCTCCACACACATCTACCTAGGCCGTAGTCAAAACACCAGCTAAAAATTTTGTTAGAAAAGAAAAATGTAAAAAAAATCCACAAGGTGGCACCAATGTGCTACAAATGATGCATTCTCTGCCAAATCTCTGAACAGGGATACTTGGCAGGATATTATTATTAAATTATTACTACAGATTACAAGAAGTTTCTAAATAAAAATTCTACCCTCATAAATACATCTTGAGATTTGACTGTGGATGGACATTAAGTACCCAATCCCACAATTTGTACAGAGAAATAAAAGCCATTAGATTGAGCTCAACACACCAAAGTAACATCAAAAACTAAACAAATTCCTACTATATGTATTTATCTATTTTCAAAGAAACAGAAGCTTCCTGAAGCCAATGCTCTTTTGCTTCAATTACCTACATTTTCCAGTTTCTTGGAGATTTCAATATATTAATCGCAGACTTTTTGGGTGACAGAAAATCCTGCTCTTTACCCAAACTGTCCCCACTTTTATTTCTGTGGAGCTCTATCCTTTGTACCAAGACCATTTCCACCCCCCCCCCCCCAAATTTTAGCACAGGAGAGGCTAGGGTAATCTGTCTCTGTGACATGACCAAAGACCATTTTTCATTCACGGCAATATGTACTGTGCATCTCAGAATGCAGTCTGACATCAGGTCTATGCAAAGCTTACGGCACTCATTTTGTCTGTTATATTCACAATTCCCTCAAAAGGTGTTCAACGATTATAGCCCCACCAACTCTGGGAGGGAACTCCCTAGAATAATATCTGGAAGGTTAGGTACTCAAAATAGAATCCTACTTTACTAAAGATCCTGTGCTAAATTGAGCACAAAACAAAAAATGAAGATAAGTGCAGATTGTAAAAAAAGGTTTTCCAAAACTAGGGGCATAGTTATTCAAAGCCACTTCTTATTCAGTAAAGATATGAAAAAGAAGCAGCTGAAATTCAACATGTTGGCTAATATGAAATCTCAGGATCTGGGTCTCCATAAATGTGTAAGAACAGCTCCATAAATTTGAAAGAACAGCTTTGTAATTTAGGAGTGCTCTTTATGAACCAAAAGAAGTATTTGTTGAATATGTAAATTTTGGTTATAAGTAGAGAAGTATCAATGGTACCATGGGGATTAATATTTCTAAGAAAGTGAGAATCAAGATTTGGAAATTGAAAG